CCATGGCCCCATTAGGCCACACATTCCGGCTGTGGGACCAGAGACCTCAGCTCTTACACCCTGTCACTGCGTGTTTGTGTGTGGCTGTCATGTCAGGTATTAAAGTCACAGTACACTTTTTTTTTTAATCAATCATTATGATGCAATCCATCCATCTATCCGTTATCTCTACCACTTATCCTGAAGAGGGTCGCAAGGGGACTGGAAATATGATGCAAAGCATTTCACATTATTTGTGTGTTAAAGGTTTAGAGCCTAAACCCTCATTTGTTTTAAACTGGCTCAAACAATTTTTTTCCACCGATGCACCTCAACACACCCATGTGCCAAAAATGACGTCACAACTGCCAGCACACGGTCAGCATGGATGTCGTTTAGATTTCTTCTTCTACTGCGGCGCCTTTCTCAGCAGCGACACCTATCATTTAGGAGAAGACTGCAGCAAGTCAAACGCGATTATAAACCGTTCTGGCTCTGTGCTGACATCTCAGCTGGTATGCACCATGGCCAGTGTGTCGAGCATAACCGCACTTTCAGTGTGACCAGCAAGGACTTCACAATGACCGTCTAAAAAGGTGAGGAGAGCTGACAAGAACTGAAACCATCTCAAAAAAGCAAAAGAGTCAGGTGATAGAGTATCGATCATCTAGACTTGCTGTCCTTGTTCAGGGTAACAGGGACATGTGGGCGAGAGCTGGGGTTCACCCTGATACTGCTAAAAAAAAATCAGTCGATCAAGACAGAAAATTAATTGCCAACACTTGATAATTGACTTATCGTTTACAGTAAGTTATTTATAGAGAAATAAATAATATTCAAATATTCTCTTCTTCCATTTTTTAAAATGCACAGATTTGCTGTTTTTCATCATTTTACATCATTGTGAATTTAATCTCTGCATTGTGAATTGCTGATCAGAATAAACAAGCAATCTGAATAAGTGACTTACACAAAAGATTAATTATAATCAGAATAATGAAGATAATCTGCAGTCACACGCCTACAATCAGGGCAGGCTGTCAGTGTACGACAGGAATAACGCATGCTGTGCAGACAAACATGTTCTCACAAGCATTTCACCTCTGGTTGTAGTTACATATACAGTTCAATGACCTAGCACTGGCTTGTGTTCTGTTTTTTATTTTGCACTTTGTACTGTCATTTTTTCCAGATTTAATTTCTGACCAAACACAAACAAAACATTACATTACTACTGGATACTATAATTAGAAAGGATTTCTTTCCAACAAACTGATGAGTTGACAGAACGCCCACAACACACATACAATTTGACTCTGCAGTTAGTGAGAATGGGATGTGTGGGCCAAGCACGCAGACACACACCCTGCCACCTGAAGATGTTTGACCACCACATACAGTATTACACAAGCAGTGTACTATTTGCTTTTGTGTATGTGTGCTCCCTGAGAACTTGTGAGTTTCAGCAGGTGACTTTTTGTTGCAGAAAACAAAGCTGCTGATTCTCTTCATGTTGTTATCTTACTCCTGTGTAAATTATGTCTGAAATCAATAAGTTTCCTATGAGATCCAGTTCATGAAATGAACACTTTAGCTGCAACAACAGTCTGTTTCTGAAGATGATCTGGCAAACTGTGTGCGTGTGTGTGTGCTTTTTCAGCTGTTGTTTTCAGACAAACAGTGCTACAACACGTGGACACCAACTGGCTGACTGTTGAACCAAAAAGAGAAGGGTGGATGAAAAAAAATGAGTGATACAGAAGGAAAAAAGAAGAGAAAAGAGGAGGAGAGAGGAAGGATGGAAGGAGAGGAGAGAGGAGAAAGAAGCAGAGAAAGAGGAGGAAAGGAAATGAGAAAAAAGAAAGCAAGGGTTAGGAGGAATTAAGGAGGCAGGCAAGGGAGGAAAGGAAAGCAAAGAGAAAAAGAGCCAAGATTGTTAATGAGGGATGAAAGTTGGACAGAAAAAAGGAATTCAATTCAGTTTATTTGTATAGCACCAATTCACAACAACAATTGTCTCAGGGCACTTTACATAATCAGGTCTGGACCTTACACTGTTGTGAGGAAAACCCAACCACTCGACTGGTTGGGGTGAATGAATAGAGGAGACAGAAAAGAAGAGGAAGAGAAGAGGCTAAGAAAGACATGGAAAGAAAGTATGAAAAATAAATTAAAAAGGACTAAGATGATTGAGGAAATATGGAAGATCGACAGGAATATAAAGGAAAGAGGAGAGAAAAGGGGGGAAAAGGAACCAACAAAGATAGTTGAGGAAGGTTGAAAGACACAGGAAAGGGAGAGACAGAAAAGATGAAAAGAAAGGAAATAAACAACAAGGACAAAAGATGTATAGGAAAAAGAAAAGTAGAGAAGAAAGGTGAAGAGCGAAAACAAAGGAAAGTATAGGAAATGAATGAAAAGGTGGTTTATGGAAAGGAGGTAGAAGAAAAGGGGAAAGTGGAGAGAAGCGAACGACAGAGAGAAGGAGAGAGAGAAGCTGAAAAAGAAAGGAAGGGAGGAAGAGATGAGGGTAGACCAGCAGGAGGTAGGGAGCCTGAGAGACCAAGCTGAGGGGAGCTCTGCCTGCCTCCCTCTGCAGACTCCCATCATGGCGGTCAGCGTTACATAACAGCTCCAGCTCAGTCATCTCTTCACCACCATCACACACACACACGAGCATTACAGAGTCTGTGTCAACACTCACATACTGTACTTTTAACTCTTAGCACATCAGTTTGTGGAGGCCACTGTAGGTCCCAGATGGGTGGGAACTGATAAACAGAACAAAAGCAGCATTTAGTCAGTTCACTGGAAGAGATTCAAGTTTGAATTGTGTGTGCTCGTCTGATCACTACTAGGTGTTTAATGCATGTTAAAACAAGCTCTGGTGGTGCCATCACAGTCACATTTTGTCTCTTTCAGTTGGTCGCTGGAATTTTTTATTCTGCTTTGTCTTGGTTCACACAGTAAAATTAGGCCATGTTCTCTCACACACACACACACACACTTTTTATGTAGAACAAATGAGCAGCCCAAAAATCTAAATCTAATGGGTGGTTAAGTATCTTGCTCAAGGACACTTCAACACATGGACTGGGCAAACCGAGACTAGAACCTCCAACTTGCCGGTTAGAAGACGGCCTGCTTTTCACAGCCATCCGCAGCTCAACTCAGCTCTGCTAAAGGAGAAGACTGATACTTAAGAAAACATTCTCAGTGTTTGCACCTACAGCACATTTCCATGTTTTCATGCGAATCTGACACTACAGAAAACACAGACATTAAAACAGGATATGTAGTTACAGTCCCTGAAATTCTATCAAGAATAGTCTCTTCTGTTCATATAGGAAAATGAATAAAGACCCACAAGGAATTAGTTCTGAAACCATTTAGTTCTGCGCAGCTTTCAAAGCAGAGACTGAGACTGTCTGTCTGAAGGCAATATCAGTCTCCAACTTCTGAAGCCTTGTGTTTTGAAGGTTGTATCGTGCTTACTCCTTTTAAACGGCATCAAAGTTGTCTTGGATTTTTAATGCAATGCAATAGTGTGAATGCAGGTTTGGTTATTATTATTATTATGTGTAAAACAAGAGCAGATCCTCACCCTGCTCCTTGATCTGTCTGATCTGCTTCACTGTTTCTTTGAGGATGGCACATTTGTCCGGCTTAACATTGAGGTCGTCCATATCATTGATGTTGGCGAAGATCAGTTCTGCCAGCTCCTCGATGTACTTGTTCTCCTGCTCCCGGTTCCTCCTCTCAGTGCTCCTCTTGGGGCTACAAGACAGGTAGGGGAGACAAACTGTCAAAATGTGTTCAAATGAATGAACTGTACATAGAATTAAAAAGGTGATCAGTATCGATATAGCTAACCATCCTTCCTTTTATTGCATGCACAAGCTGAATACTTGCTGTTTTCCAATTCTTTGTCTTGCCATCAGCTGATAGGCATAATGACTACAGACTTCCTTCCTTGCATGAGTTTGTGCAGTGAATATTGTCTTTTTTTTAAACCATGAGTCAATGTACCACACAATCTCACTACAACCTGAGCTACAACTTCAGTGCGTCCCCATCACAACTTTGTCACTACAACCTTCATACATCCTTCCAGACAATGAAAGCGCAGCAACTTGTTAGCCCTTTTATAAACTGCTGCCTATAAAAATGCTACAGCAGCACTTTTCTCCATTGACCTGTGAGAGCTTTGACTCATTTCAGCAATCTCTCTACCCCTCCTCACTTGTTCCCTCACTCCCTGAATAAAAGCATATTTGACTTTATACATATATTCTTTTGCTTTTCATACTCTGATTATACTAAACTAGACAATGTCCGGGCCCAATTCCACAGTTCAAATGTGGCATGTACTGATACTGTGGACTGTGGGTGGAGGTCTTCACCTGGGCCCCAGGAGGTCTGAATGACAGTCCTTCCTCTTCTGAGACTCTCCCCCTCTGAGGGGCTCTGGGGTGTCCGCCCCCCCACTACTCATCTTCAGCAAATATCAGCACCTAGAGTCAAAAAGAGAGATGCGGGGAGTTTTAAGCCAAAAAGAAATAAATAGGGATAATCAGCGGAGGTGGCAGTTCTTTTAAAACATAACATGCATGGCGATATTTCACCATGTTGAAACAGCAATGTTAAGTGATTAGAAGGCAACACTATTAAGTGCTGTAGTTTGCAGACCTGTTGGAACAATGCAAATCAGTTACCAGAGGTGTCTGTCATAATATTCAGACACTAACAAATCCAGCAAGCCAAGAAGTTCTTTGGCTACTTACATTAAGCTTATCATTCAAAATCTCCACGTTTTTCTAAAGCTAGTGTCACTGTGAGGATGCTTTTAGTCTAAATGACGTGGCTCCATGCAGCATGAGTTAAAGTGAGCATTGTGGAAATTAAAAACCTAATCTAAACAGACAAGAATTAGTGTGATCAGGATGTACACAAGCAGTTTGAATGGTGCATAATCAAACAGGGAGTGTGCTCGTGACTCATGAAAACAATGTACCATTGTAATGTGCCTACAGGCAATATGTGGGAGGCCCAGTGGGAATACAGTAGGTGTCAATAATTACTTCAGTTAGAAATAGCTAATTCATGTAGGCATTCACACTGCTCTTACATGACCATTTCTGGCAGTTAAGTCAATGTCTTCAACAAGAGTCATAATGCTGAGAGCCAAACTGTCTTGGTAATATTTTTGTTATCTTGAAAGTATTGTACAGGAATAAAAGTATAGTAGGTGGCAAGATATTAAAATTAAACACTCGGTGGCAGAGAATGTTCTACCATATGGTCACCTCATGCTGCGAGACCTTCTACCAAACACTGACGTCTTGTTTGCACAACATCAGTCAGCGCAGTGTCTCTCTGTTGGATTTTATGAACAGAGCTCTACCAGATCTACAAGCCTCATACTCAAGTACAGAGTGTAGCTTTCATGCGAGCAACTGCGTGTTGTGTTTGCATTTGTAGCTGCGAGGTTTGACACTATAGAGTAAGTTTTCATAGTTGTATAGCATCCTATACAGAGGATTTTCTTCAATTATTTATTTTTCTAAAGATTATTTGATTGTAAATCAAGATCTTATTTTCTGTTTGACAGTGTTTTACCTTTCTCTATTTTCATGGCACTTTTGACTGATGTAACTACGCTGAAGACCCTTTGATTCCCCTTCTTGGACTCAAGGACTGTGAGATGTATTAAGTGTTTCAACAAAAGGTAGCGGTGTTAGCGAGAACAAAGCAGCCCTTATTGGTAATTTGACCACATCACTTCAGCCCTGTAGCTGGTTAGAGCATGGCTAGCCATTTGACTGGGTCCGACCAGGTAAGATTGCTGATAACACTTTGCGACTCAGGGCTTTGTTCAGACATGATGCCTAGACATGAAACAGCAAACAAACTCCTAGGCTAGGGATGCACATCTTAAAAGGGGTTTAACAAGTCAGTTGCACTGAGGTCAGTCTGATCAATATCTGTGACAGTTATGTTTGTTTGTTTTTTTTTTGTAACCTTAAACCTCCAAAAAGTAATATTTGTATGTAGAATCTTCTGATACAACTGTAACATGATCATTTTCTCAGATAAGCAGGTTGCTAAACAGAGGTTCAGGAAACAAAGACTGATAGATTGCCTTCTGACAAGATTACAAACTGAAGAACTATTTGCTTTTGAATGCGACAAAATCAATCAACCTTTACTTAGGTACACAATCACACACTGATGAGTCTAGAAGGGAAGAAGCAGCATCTGTCAGGGCAGGAGGCCTTCAAAGCCCTTCAGTGGGCCAACACATCACCTGACTGTTACATAACAGCCAGTCTGTGGGGTTGATACTGAGCAGCTGAAGGCAGGAAAAGGGGTAGAAGGGAAAG